TCGGCTCCGCCCGAACTTAGACTTTCTTACTTGTTTAATTTCATTTAGAGGTCGCAACCTGTCGATTTAGGTCAGAAAATACGATTTTGTATATTTATTTATTTGTTTTTGAATGACTATTTTCGATTCGATTTCAAAGATCGAATATGACCTGAGAAGAGGATATGTAATGTGTATACCAAATTTGGTCGTGATCGATCGAGTAGTTTTTGAGATACACATATATGATGTAAGTGGGCGGTGCCACTCCCATTTTCCTAAAATTTTTTGAAAAACCAATTTTTTGGTAAAGAGCGATTGTATATATCAATTCTTAAGAAATATCGATGAATTTCTTAGTCACACTGTTAATAAAATCTGAAATTACAGTACATACACACATATAAATTCAAGGCCATATTTAAGAAAAGTCGCCTAACTTCGACAATTTTTATGCGATTGCAATAAATGAGGTATCAGTTTATTCAGAAATGGATTTAATTTTAGATAGTAGGTACTAACGGGTGATTTTTTAAGAGCTTGATAACTTTTTTTTTTAAAAAAACGCATAAAATTTGCAAAATCTCATCGGTTCTTTATTTGAAACGTTAGATTGGTCCATGACATTTACTTTTTGAAGATAATTTCATTTAAATGTTGACCGCGGCTGCGTCTTAGGTGGTCCATTCGGAAAGTCCAATTTTGGGCAACTTTTTCGAGCATTTCGGCCGGAATAGCCCGAATTTCTTCGGAAATGTTGTCTTCCAAAGCTGGAATAGTTGCTGGCTTATTTCTGTAGACTTTAGACTTGACGTAGCCCCACAAAAAATAGTCTAAAGGCGTCAAATCGCATGATCTTGGTGGCCAACTTACCGGTCCATTTCTTGAGATGAATTGTTCTCCGAAGTTTTCCCTCAAAATGGCCATAGAATCGCGAGCTGTGTGGCATGTAGCGCCATCTTGTTGAAACCACATGTCAACCAAGTTCAGTTCTTCCATTTTTGGCAACAAAAAGTTTGTTAGCATCGAACGATAGCGATCGCCATTCACCGTAACGTTGCGTCCAACAGCATCTTTGAAAAAATACGGTCCAATGATTCCACCAGCGTACAAACCACACCAAACAGTGCATTTTTCGGGATGCATGGGCAGTTCTTGAACGGCTTCTGGTTGCTCTTCACTCCAAATGCGGCAATTTTGCTTATTTACGAAGCCATTCAACCAGAAATGAGCCTCATCGCTGAACAAAATTTGTCGATAAAAAAGCGGATTTTCTGCCAACTTTTCTAGGGCCCATTCACTGAAAATTCGACGTTGTGGCAGATCGTTCGGCTTCAGTTCTTGCACGAGCTGTATTTTATACGGTTTTACACCAAGATCTTTGCGTAAAATCTTCCATGTGGTCGAATAACACAAACCCAATTGCTGCGAACGGCGACGAATCGACATTTCACGGTCTTCAGCAACACTCTCAGAAACAGACGCAATATTCTCTTCTGTACGCACTGTACGCATTCGTGTGGTTGGTTTAATGTCCAATAAAGTAAACTGAGTGCGAAACTTGGTCACAATCGCATTAATTGTTTGCTCACTTGGTCGATTATGTAGACCATAAATCGGACGTAAAGCGAACCGAACACTGATTTTGGTAATAAAATTCAATGATTTGCAAGCGTTGCTCGTTAGTAAGTCTATTCATGATGAAATTTCAAAGCATACTGAGCATCTTTCTCTTTGACACCATGTCTGAAATCCCACGTGATCTGTCAAATACTAATGCATGAAAATCCTAACCTCAAAAAAATCACCCGTTATATATTTTGAAATTGTGGAAATTATCGATGGTAAAAATTTAAGAAGTTAAGATAAATGATTGATAATGATGAATGACAATACATTATTATATACCATATATTAAAGGCCTATATATCCCTTCTCAGATCATATTCGGTCTTTGAAGTCGAATGAAAAATAGTCATTCAAAATGTCATAAATCTACAAAATCTAAATGACCTTTAAAAAATCTATAAAAATTGGCTATAATATTTCTCACAAAAACGAATAAAATTAGGGGGTAGGGCCTTGGAATTTCCAAAAAAAAGCATTTTCGATGGGCACCCTAATACTCACGAAACTAGCGGTCAATTTTATTAGAATTTTTTTAGTTTTTCTCTCCGACGGCCGCACATAAGGACAAAGTAACTAATTACGCTGACAAAAATAGAAAAACAAAAGTCTTTAGATGTTATCACACATACCTTTCTAATACTCCTTATAAACCAGTTAACAATGTAACATACAAATTTTGGCCTTTAACGCAACGCAGCAGCTTTAACAGAAGCGCAAATTTGGGTTTTCTATCGTGCGTCGAATTAAATAATTTTTTGTTTGAAGCGATGATAAAATAGTTTCGTTTGTCATTTTATTCTTATTAACAACTAATAGTTTTGTCAACATAGAAAGTGAGGCGTGAGGTGTGTACTTTATTTTGCGGTTTTTGTTAATAATATAGTTGTTTGTAAAATGGGTATAATACCTATTTTATAAATTGCCTTTTTTCATTGAAAAAATTTTGAAGTTTTTATATTTGTTAGAGTTATAAAAAAAAAGTTCCAACGAGTATAGCAATTTCTCTTCAACAATTCCAAAATCCAACAAATCGCCAATGTAAAAATGTCACGAACTCGTCCCCCTTTTCCTCATTCATTAAATAGAGCATATTTTTCTTAAGTCGTTTATTGGGAAAAATCGAGAATATAGGAGGACAAAAATGTTTACTCCATATGTATTTGATAAATTTCAATGAAATATGGTAACCAGGGGTTTTCGATGTCAGTGATTTCGAAATTGAATATGGCGGAAGATATCTTAAAAAATGGATAGATTGTTATGAAGCTTGGTATCCAGAGATTTTCGTCGTCACTGGTTTCGAAATTGATATTAAATTTTCAAAAATCAAAATGGCGGATCCAATATGGCGGACCACTTTTTTAAATATAGTTTTTTATGAATCATGGTATTCAGAGATCCTCGTTATCTTTGATTACGAAATTGAAATTAAATTTTCAAAACTCAAAATGGCTTCAAATGGTGCTAAAGGTAATGCATTGCGTTAAAAGTAAAACGCCTATTATTCGGGACGCCATATTTGATCCGCCATTTTTAATTTTTGAAAATATAATGTCAATTTCGAAATAAGTGGCGACGAAAGTCTCTGGATGCCAAGCTTCATAACAATCTAGACAATTTTGAGGAAATCGTCCGCCATATTGGATCCGCCATTGTGAATTTTGGAAATTTAATTTAATATTCGAAATCAGTGATGACGAAAATCCTTAAATACCAAATTTCATTGAAATCTGTCAAATACATATAGAGTAAACATTTTTGTCGTCCTATATTGTCGATTCGTCCCTATGTGGGCCGGTTGTTTTTAAACAAGCTTTCAAATTTCAAGGTTATGAATAACTCAAAAAAGTACTTAAACGTTCAGTGCAATGTTCGTGCATATGTAGAAATCAATATATGTACAGAATGATAGAGAAAGTTCTGTAGTTTTAAAAAGAATAAATGTGTTTGGCGAACAAGGACGTTTAGGTATCGAAAATGACCTTTTAAATAAATTGTTTGTCCAAGACTAATAAAGTGAAAAGGACGAAATTCGAGAAAGCGGCAATGTAGTGCGTATTAGTCCTTAACGTATATTTTTTATTTCAAAAATAACTATTGGAAATTTTCAAGGATAATCAAGGACAAAATTGCAAAGGACATTTTCGATACCTGTGTTCACCACAACATTTTTTTTGTTCGATTCTACAAAATACAGATTCCTCTATAATAATAATAATAACAATAGATTGGCGCTTACACATATGTTAGTGTTTGGCCGAGCTTCTCCTCCGATTTGTGGCGTGCGCCTTGATGTTGTCACACAAAGCAGAGGGACCTACAGTTTTACGCCGACTCCGAACGGCGATTGTATTTTTATGAGAAGCTTTTTTTCATGGCGAAAATGCACTGGGAGGTTTGCCATTTCCTGCCGAGGGACGACCGCTGTAAAGAAAAACCTTTTTTCTATATTTTTTTTGCGATCTTGCTTTGACCAGGGCTTGAACCCAGGCGTTGCGAAGTGGAAGTGGACTGCTTACCACTACACCACACCGGCCGACAGATTCCTCTATAGAGACTTAAAAAATTAAAAATATGTTTATTTTTTTTTTCATTTAAAATCCAAAATCGAAGATATCACATGTAAATTTTGGTCCTGATTTGAGTCGGTTAAGGCGTGTCGCACAGTGGTCAAAGTTTAGATTACCCCATGAAGACGTCTTAACCGTCTCCAATCGGGACCAAAATTTATGTATGCTATCTTCGAATTTATTAGTATCGATTTTGTGTATTATTTAGATGAAAAAAACGTTATTTTAATTTTTTGAGTCAGGGGAATCTGTACTTTGCCCCCTGTGAGACACGCCTTAACCGTCTCCAATCGGGACCAAAATGTATATGCGATAGACCATAGTATTACCGATTGAGGGGGTGAGACTGAAAAAGTCGTTCGTTTGGTTTTACGGACCAACCTAATGTACATACTACTATATCTACGTCTACATTCATACATATACCTATACTTTAATGTACATTCATGGACCCGCCACTGCACTGTCTGTCATAAGCTGTGAATTCTCTTTTGGAATTGTTTCTCAGCGCGCATTTTTATCCACGAAAATCTTTTTTAATAACTGTTTCGTTTATGAATGAAGTTTGGCTGGCGGTGACACAATGCCATAAAGTAAAGAACTTGAATTTGACAGCAACAGATGCTGTAGCTGCTATTCTCCCTACTGCTGTCAATTTAAATACATACTGCTATAATGGAAATTACTGGAGGATGACAATAAAATTTCATTTTCGTCCACAGTTGAGTGAATTCAGCGCCATTGCAGATAATCTAATCTCACACAAATGTGTACGCACGCATTCACGTTACAAAATGAAAAACAAAAATTACTTTTGACAAAATGCAGGTAAGAATATGTATTCATTCAAGTAACAGCTGACGCCGGGGAAGTTGGTTTTTATTGTGTTTGGCACAGTTCCTTCTTCGAAGTTGACCTAAAGGGATAAAAGGAAACATTTCACTTTAAGCAATTTTGTTTATTTATTGATAATAACCGAAGATGTCGCCGCCAACAATGTATTATTGACTAGAAAGACAAAGCAGGAAATATGTTATAAATTTGGTTGCATATGGTATCTAGTGAATAAAGTACTATATGATGTAAGTGCATACTTACAAACATATAGATTTCTCAAAAGTTTTCGATACTTTTGGAGGACGGGCGTTTTACCTAAACCTTGGAAAGTCAAACGCCTTCTTCTACTGTCGAACTGCTTACCGTTCCATTTGTATGCTTGATACGGTGGGGAAGACCCTGGAGCGCATTATAGCGAGTCGTATCATCCGAGCTATTGATTTATCGACGAGTTGTCCTGCACCAAACTAGTTTTTATTCCGGAAAAGACGTTCTACCATCGATGCAGTACATCTGGTGAAAACCATTGCGATTAATGCAATAGCCAGGAAGCGCTGGAAAGGCGGTACAATTGAATATTGCCTCGTCATCACCCTAGATGTCAAAAATGCTCTCAATTCGGCGAACTGGCCAAAAATACTAGTAGCGCTCCAGAATTTTGAGGTTTCCGCGTATCTAATTAAGCTCAATTGCAGCTACTTCTGCAACAGAATCATCTTGTATGAGCCAAAATCTGGCATAATAAGGCATAAGGTCTCAGGCGGAGCAACTACTTTCTAGCATTCGGAAATCAGTGATCCTCTACGGGTCCAAGATTTGGGTAGAAGCACTCCAAGTAAATTCATAGAGCCGTGAAATTAATTCGATCTAAGGACTCTGTATATTAAGGCTTTGTTCAGCTTTTCTGATGACGGTTTATGAAGGTGCAGCCCTTGGGGTGGCTGGGCTACACCCTACTGATTTACTGGCGAAGGGAGACTCATTCAATCTTCCTGGATGCTCCACAGCCTCTCACGAACATAAGCGCTCGCAAGAAGGCGCACTCTATTCGAATGGTAGGAAAGATGGGACCCAGCTAACAATGGCCGGTGGGCACATCAGCTCATCCCTAATAACGAGAACTGAATTAGTAGGGCGCACGACAAGGTAGTTTTCAATATCGCCCAACTACTTCCTGGCCATGGCTGCTTCACTTGCAGCACTTTAATCACGAGGACTATGCACATTGCGAGACTTGTGGTCCCAATTTCCCTGAAGACGCGGAGCATGTACTGTTTAGCTGTCCATTTTTCAATGCAGCTCCACAGTATAGAACTTAGTCCCAAAAATGATGGAGACCTCAACCAACTGGAGAGCCATAAGCGCCAACGAAGCAGCAATAATTGGTAAATTGAGAAAACAGCATAGGTTGAAATCGCTAAGACGTACAGAAGGGGCCACTCAACTTTGCGTTGGAAAGACCAGGTGGAGAAGGACTTGGCATCACTTGTTATTTCCACTTGGCGTAAGTTGGTCCAGAAGAAAAACGACTGGCGTGCTTTGTTGAACTCGGCCAAAATGGCTTAAGCGGTTACAGCCCCTCCCGTTGGCGGATAGACAAGGAGTTTTAGTACAGATTTAAGTTTCACTCTACGGTGGGAAAAAAGAGCCAATAAAGCAATATAGACATATTAAGATAGATAGATACCCAATACCAGCTGTGGCCCAAGCGACACTTAAGTTTCAAATACTACACAGAATTAGCACTATACACATTCAAATGAGAATTTGTCATCTAAAGCGTATTTAACATTGTTTTGCTAATTCTGTTATTACAAGTTTGTTCGAAATAAAAGTTCATTAACCAACCAAGAAGCGTGCCTGAATCCTCATCAGGGTTATTGTATCGCAGATACCGTATTCAGATCCTTTGAGCAATAAAGTTTTTCGTATATGGTGGTTGGCTGTAAAATCATCTATTTGCGGAAGAGCACATTCAAATTTATTTAAACTAACTTAGCAGATTAAAAAAATATACGAAAAATAGAAAGACTTCCGGCTAAAGTTATTGTTGTAGTAGTTACCATTAGTATATTCTTTTAATTTTTTTTGCTTACATCCAGAAGCGCAGACTTGCACTTAATAACTGCAAATCAGTGCATTCACACTTGGCTTCAATATTTTCTAAAGATCCAATCAAACGCGCTGTCGCCACATATTTATGCAATCAGTTCCGTTAACTACAACCATACGAGTACTAAATAATGATGAAAGATAAACTCTCTCAGTATTGCCAATACTGTCATTCTCGTATGTAGCCATAAAATCCACTAAACAGCTAACCAACCACATCAAGCTGCTATTCATGCAATTTCAACATAGCTGTTACGCGCACTAAGTTTTTGAGTGAGTTTCACTGTTTGCAGTGCAAAAAAATCTCATCATCAATATGATTAATTCCTAATCAATTTTCGTGCAATTACGAAAACTTTTCCAACACTCTTAAGTGCACATTATCAACATCAAGTTGACGAATTGAGAGGCCATCGGTGCGTTGAATGGTAAGCACACACACATACACACACACACTTTGACACAGTAGCCAGCATAATTGCACTTACCCCGTAGTAAAATGCTAATGAGTAGTTTAGCAAAATAACTGCTTTTAAAACTCCATCACTAGACCGGTTTATGCGAATTCAAAATCCTAGCGGATTGTATCTAAATAGATACGTACTTACTTTGCAGACTGAATTTTCTCCAAATCGCAGAAGGATTTTATTGTATTAAACACCGTGGAGCAGTCAATTTTGCACACAAAAAAATCAATTCGCGAAACTAGGAGCCAAAAATAGTAAAACACGGTTTTAGTTTTTCTCTCTGAGGTCAGGATTTTTCTTTAAAGGACATAGAAATTTCAAGGATATGGTTAGATCAAAAAATTGTTTACATGCTACTTCATTGCAATACAGAATAACAATATTGAATGAAATAAAAGAAAACCCTTTGTAGAATTTAAAAAGATTAAATTTTTTGGGTCACAAGGACGAGTAGGTATTGAAAAATCCCTTTTAATTATTTTGATTTTTACCTCGTTTTTATTAGCTTGGGATGTAATTTAAGATAAAAAAGTTAGCAGGGCGAAACACATGTAATCTTTCCAAGAATATTTACTGCAAATTTTTAAGGATGTTCAAGAATACAATTTTAAAAGGACATTTTCAATACTTATTCTACAGAATTTACTCTCGCAGGGTGAACTTAGGACGCAGCATTAGTACCACCAATATTGTCAGACTGGAAATCAAGCAAAAAATAACTCTTCATATGGCGCATAAACGAGGTCGATGTCGAGCACGAATAAAAGGGATGGGATGATTTGCCTTTCAAAGACATGGAAACACATTAAAATTCAACATTTGTTTCGGCTAAGATGATGATGAGCCGATGTGAGAACCCTTCGATTTTCTCAACAAAAGCAAGAGCGTACACGAATGCAAACAAAGGACCAATTACACTTGAAGTAAACAAGTGACGAGACTTTGCAAAGGAGAGGGGAAATTGGCGATATCGGTACACGGTTGAAACGTTATAAAAGGAAAGGAAAATCGTTTGCTTTAAAAATTTAGTCATGGCTCACATTTTATGTACACATCTCAATTCCTACGAACTATTTAATTAGACGAGCAAATAATCAAAATATAAATTGTATAAACGAGATTATTGATTTAAAGGAAAAATAGATTTTCGATGAAAATATCGGCCCTAAATTGCCGAAAATGAATACTACGATCATTTACATACTAAGGCTCGTGTAATAATTTTAGCTGTTCGGTTTGAGCCATTTTCGAGAAATTTTTCTCAGCGACACAGTCTTGTACTCAAAGCCTTAAAAGCTCATTTCTTCTTATTTCTGTCATTAAAAAGGCTTCTTGTTAAAACTATATGCCATTTGGAGGCGACGTAAACTTTGTGAGACAAAAAGGCGTACACCACAAATTGGAGGAAAAGCTCGGCCAAGCACTGGCAAGTGTGTAAGCCCCAAATATAATTTTTTGTAAGCCAAAATACACAAAAAATATGAAAAGGGAATGAATTTAGCCCTTCTGCATTGTTTCTAATTTAACCCTTTCTTCAACGTTCTGGGTCACTATGACCCAATAATAGAAATTATTATGTTTTAATCTTAATCTTCTATGTACTTATTTCTAAAAGGTATTTTTCTGTTATCGAGCGATATCTCCTTTAATATCTTCTCAATTTGAATGAAGGATATCTCATTTTGAAGGGGAGCGCTCACGCACATGCGAAAAATAGTCACGTTGTTCAAATTTAGTGGTTTAATAAAAAAGGGGGTTTCAAAAAGCCGAAAGCATTGTATCTGGCCAATAAAGCGCCATACATATCTTCCATAATACTCCATCAAATTGAATGATTTAAAAACTATTTTGAAGGGCAGCTTCGCCTTTTGAGGTAAAAATAAAAACTTTTTAATAGGGTTGCAACCCACTTACAATTTAATCGAGTAAAATATTACAATGCATTCAGGAAATGAAAGGCATTTAAATGCACTCTTATCCAGAAGTAATAATTTTGAAGAGGGTTGTGAACTATTTAAAAATTGAATGGCCTTACTCATAAAAAATAAAAAAGATTTAAAGAGTGACATTTTCATAAAAAATTTCGATTTACAAAGCAGTTAAAATATTCTTTATTTTTGATGAATTTGGGTGTAAATCTATATATATATATATATATATGTATAAAACAAAGTTGCTTACGTAATACCTAGCAAATGTAGCTCCTATGTGAGTTGTCCTGTGTGAATTGTCTCTTTGTTTTGTTTGTCTCTTCCGATTAGAAAATTCCGGTAAAATCTATTTTTCCACAGATCTTGTACTCGACATTTATAGTTACCAAATCATGTGTTAAGAGGAATATATTTAGCTGACTTTTTTCTGAGTGTATGTTGGTTGGGTTAGGTTAGAGTGCGTTGCAAATTTTTACCGGTTTCATTTACAATTGTCGGATTTGAAAAATATATGATGGAATTTTGATTAAAAATACAAAATTTGTCTTATATTGCGCCTTATCCTGAGCTTCGTCCGAAAAAAAAATTCACCCGAAAATTTTTATTCGGCTCATAGTAAATACATTTTAACCAAACGTGAAAAGTGAACCGGTTCGAGGAAAATGAAACTCATGATAAGGCTGCATGAGTCTCATTTTCCTCGAACCCATTCGCTTTTCGTTTCCGAGTATTCACTACGGGCGGATGAAAAATTTCGGGCGAAACCCACGATAAGGCTTAATGAGAATATCTGGCGCGTATATTTCCTTTGCGAAAATTGCCTCGACGATAGTTTGAATTTTTCGACATCGTACTTTCGGTGTTCGTAAACCATTCGCCGATCAGAATATGAAACAAACATTGGCGATTAGCAGTGCGAATCGAAACCCTCAGCAATGCGCCCAAGTTAATGCACAGCTTTGAGTGCATGCGTCGCGGATTCATGCAGGACGACCTCAGAGGAATCAGATCCTTAACAACGGTAATAAATGTATTTCGTTAGCAATCCTGATATCGAAATTCATCAGTGTTGTGCCATTAACGTTGCTATGAATTCGTAAATTCAAAGAACTTCTTCACGGGCAAAACGCTTTGGTTAGGTATTTAAAACGGCAGTGGAAGATGCGCCTTCCGACGCCCACAAAACCATAATCAGAGCAGATAAATGTGCTACTGCAAGTCATTCGACCCTATGCTGAATATCGGCATAGTCATCGTCGACGATCGTCAACGCATCAGTAATATGGCTGGCTTTTATAAGTTTTCAATTGCAGCCAGTGTTGTCAGATTTTATTTGCAAAAAAACCCTAGATTTACTGTATTTGGACATAAAAACTGCAACCATCAAAAACGAAAAGTTTTGATAAATTTAAGCTTTTTTAATTTTATTAAACGTAAATAAAAAAAGCGATTCTCTACATTACTTTGCAAATTTTTTTGAGCATCTGATTCGATAACTCAAATCATTTTTTAAAGGAATATTTAGTTCTCAAAATACCAGAGAGTTTTGAAGTTTTTATTTCATTTATTGTTTTATTCAAATTGATTTGGGGAAATACTCTTTCCACGTTTGCTGTGGCGACTGGAATGCAAAGGACAGCGGAAAACATTTGTTTTGTATGAAGTAACGCATGTTCTTCATCGCCCCCCTTTTATCTTAAGAGTTGACTTACTAAAAAACATAAGGAGAAATTTTTAAGTTATTCGTTCGAATCATAACTTTCGAAAAAACTTTAATTTGTACTAGAAGGTAATTTAAACAACTGTAATCTTGTATAAAAAACTGTAATTTAAAGTTAAAACTGTGAATCTGGCATCATTGGTTGTAGATAACAAATGTATTTTAAAATTTTCTTGATTTGGGTGTTTTCGTTTATGGAAAAATTAAACTGTCTTTTATTTAATATAGTTCCAAGAAGGTTTTGCGAATCCATAACCTGGTTCGCTAGTTTCACTAGGTAAAGACTATTTTTCACAGATTTATGAGAGTTCCATGTTAAGTTGATTTCTGTTCAAATGTCGCCGAAATTGAATCAATTGGGTTTTATTTAAGAAATTTGGGTTTCTGGAATATTACTTGTCTTGAGTGGTGGCTTTTGTTGTTGAATCCCGCGATTTCCTAAAATAAAATCGCAGAGTTCACTGCCAACCACAATAAACTCTTCATTTGAAATATTAAAATTACATTAAAAAGCAAATTATATTTTAGGTCAAAATTACGCAGAAAAGCTGTGTGTCTCTAAATAAAAGGTTTTTGCCCTCTAGCAGAAATTAAAAAAAATAAATAAATCCAAACCCATAGCTACTGATGATATTAAAAAAAAGATTACACCATAGCTTGACTATTGAGTAATTTTGGCCCAATCATTGTAGAAGGGTTAAGATTTTTTTATAATTTTAATCGTTCAGTCAGCTTATACGACGTTCTATGGCACGTAATTCGCTCTCTCATTCGTAATTGGCTCTCAGTCGTAACCCGCTTTCAAATTACCCTTCGAATTACGTAATTCGCCTTACAACCTATCCTTAACCTTAGCTAACTTACATCATTTCTAGGTAATTCAGATTCAATTTATCGAACTCAACTGTTAGAGCAAGAGAGAATAGAAAAAATCAAAACAAAGGAAAGTAGGAAATGGCTAAAAAATAAATAAAAAATTAAATAATGAACTGTCAAATCGAATAAGAATGTGCCACGTAAACGGCGTAATTCACCAAAATATTTCAGAAGCGAACAATGTTATTGGCAGTGCTCGTGGGAACTTAGTTTTAGACCTCATCCTTCGAGATCTCTTTCAGGCGTCAAAAATTACACCGAACGAAAGCTTATGAGCTTCTTACATAATAACATTTCAAAAAAATTGATGAAATATTTGCAAATGGATGCAATTTTATATGAAATTCTGCTACATTTTTGTGAATACGCCCCCCATTGTTTATGAGTATTTATGTTGAATTGGCTGGCAGCGCTGAAGTCAAATACTTTTTTTAATATTCATACATACATACATACATGCATACATAGGTCATTGATATCAGATAGTAATTTACACACCTTTTTCAATCTTGTGATGCCTTCAAATGAATTTGTAATTGGTGCCTAAGTCACTAACGGTTAAAAGGTAGATCGTATAAAACTAGTTACATACCTTCTACTGTTTGGGAAATTCTATTTTAACCAGCTTTAATGCAAGCGCAACTGAATTGTGGATAATGCACATTTGTAAATGTATTTGTAATTGTTAATGAATTACCTTAGCTACTGGGTGAACACTTACAAATACACACACCAGCATACACACATACATGCTCAAAGTTACCAAGTGTTGTTGGCTAGTAGTAAGCCACTTTTTAAACTAAAAATGGATGGAATGGATGTGAGAGAGCTTCACTAATTAAAGAGGAAAAGACAACTGACAGCAACGCTGCTGGGCTTTTGAATTGAGTTGAAATAACCAACGGACGCGGCTCGAAGCCAAAGCTATTGCCAATGGCTTATGCTGCCTGTGCCTGTGTCAGTGGTTTTTGTTGTTTTTTTTTTTGTTTCCAACCAAGTTGGGGTATTATCAGTTATTTGGGATAATGGGAAAAGTTTTCGCAGCTACTGAACTTGTTGACAACGAACATGAGGCGTGCTCATATACTAAAACAACAACAACATCGACGAGCTTGGCCAGAAAAATGTATGCCATGTAGTAAGCGAGCAAGGCTACTTCTCTGTAGGATCATGGTTATGGCCATGGACAGAGTTTCTCACATGTACTACTCACATTCAAACACATACATACACACACATCCTTTACTGTGTTTCAGTTCAGTTTGAACACGAGTTTGCTAACAAGTAGTGCAGCCACTCAACGCCTCTGCGTGAAACGCTCCACCCAGCTGTCTACCATCAGCACACCCACTCTCTGTTGACGCTTAATCAGCGACCAAATACGGCAAATAGCATAAATGAAGTGGATGAGCACGCTTCCATACTTATGACCATCAACTTGGCTATGTTCATTATTTACATACATACATTCATACATACATATATTTGCCAGCCACTACTCGCACATATATACATATGTATATTCGCTCTTGGACAAGCAAAACTCCTACGCACAATCATTATGACGACCAGCGACAGACACAGCAGCACAGTCTGCTTTTATTTTATTTTAATTGAGACATAATAGTTTACTGCAAAGTGACAAAACTTAATGAATCTTCAATTCACAACGATGAACATCGCTAATGGCAATTCGCATTTTTGTGCGCCAAGTTCTTACCTAGACTTCTTTTAACGTCTGCAATGTCTTTTAAGTATTAAGTATTTTCAAAAGTATTTCTTTTTAAATTATATTTAGAGTGGAAATACTTAAGTGATTTTCGGTATAATTAATGGGTTGGTTTTCATCTACAATTTTTCTTCTTTTAATTGCAGATTGAAGACGCTATGCTGATGTTTGATAAGCAGACCAATCGGCACAGAGGTAAGTGCGCAGCTGTTGACTTACTTTTTTTATCGATTAAGCAATGTCCGTTAAGCTTTAACATTTTTATTAACAACGCCACGAGGAGAAATGGGATGCAAGTTGTAGGGAGTTGTATAATTTTCTATTAGATATGTATTAAGACGTTTTTTGATGTAGAATAAATTTTTTAGAGCTTCAAAAAATCGCTTATTGCACTAGAAGTAATAAGGCGATTTCAAAGCAAAATGCATCATTTCAAATAAAAAAATCCTAGATTTACCGACATGTTTATTCTTACAGGTGATCACTTCGTTTTTTTGTTCGTATAAAGATCGGTAAACATTGGCTTGTGTTGGGGTCAATTCTGAGCTGTTAAAGTGCTCTAGCAACTTTGGAGAAATTGAACCATGGGCCTCACAAGTGGCAGTAGGCACATCTAAGCGGTCGGCTATGGCTGCAAGAGTACCACTCAAATCCGAAAAAAGTCCACAAAAATCACATAAGGTATTAAAAAAAAGTTAAAACAAGTCCCAACGTGATTTTGGCACTGATTTTGATTTGTTTTAATTTTGATCTAAAAAGCACGTTGAACTAAGTTTGCTTTTCTAAATAAAAGATGTATTTACTTTTAATAGTTTTATTGTAATTTTTGGTCATGACTTCATACAAAGATAAGAATTTTCAGTGTATGATAGTTACGTGAAATAAAATCAATTTTTTTCTTAATTTCAAAATTGGAAACCGGTTTTTTTTTCATACAGCAATTTTTCGAATAACTCGAAACCCGGGTTTGAAAAAAAGACGAGCAATCAAACATCTGTTGCCACCTGTTTAAACCATCAAGTTTAACTTAAATGAAGGCAACTAGAAAATTTAAATATTTATCACGATATGGGTTTCAGACGAAAGAGCTTGTGGTTTGAAAAATGTTGAACAAGGTTGCCACCTATTTACAAAGTTAAATTCAATGGGGCATTTTTGTAGTCGAAATAAAGTCGAATTCAAGGTTAGTCGCAGCTTTTTTACGGATATTCCATAGAAAATTTTGCCAAAAAGCTGCAAACTAATGCAACTGTTTAAAAAGTCCAATGTAGTTAATTTTAATTAATGCAACTATAAAATTTAATTATGAATCACCTATGGGCGTCAGGCGAAGAAGGTTCTGGTTAGAAAATATTTTGAAGAGGGTTGCCACCTGTTTACAAATTAAATCCAACTTGAATTAAGATAATTAGATAGTTTAAATACGTATCACAATATGGGTGTCACACGAAAAAATTTCAACTCGATTTTCGGTTGAAAATATTTTGAGTAGGTTTGCCTGCCGTTTACAAAGTTAAATTCAGTATATACAATACTTTAAATGAATTACTACAATATGAGGATCATTCCAAATGGCTTTGAAACTTGAATTACAGGAATTTTCATATCCACATGACCATACTGATACATATCGTCGCCTGGGTAAAAGATTGTCGTATGTTAATTTCGGCAGGTTGTGGGAAATCGCGATTGAAGTTTGGAATGCAATTTCTCAAAAACGCGAAGATAGATTTTCTCCAAAGTCTATGAAAATGTTTCTAGTTCACAAAACTCTTAAATTATTTAATTTTTAATGTTTATTGTTAATTTGTTTTGAGTTTATGAAGAATTTTCTGTAGTAAAATTTTGTCGTAATCGCCATTTATCCACAATTTGGCAGCCACATTGTATGAAATACGACAAAATGTGATCAAAATTTCTACTAAATTAACGACACTTTTTAATATATATCTCGGAAACTAAAGGAAATATCCCAAAATGGAGAACGCCATTTTTAAAAAATTTATTAGTTTAATATGACTGCATCGCTAACTAAATTTTTACTAAATTATCAAAAAAATTTTATTTAAAAATATATAACTAACAAGTAAGAAAGTCTAAGTTCGGGCGGAGCCGAACATTAAATACCCGGCGCAAGTATTAAATATATGTTTTTTCACCCTTCCGAAACCTTCCGCTAGATGGTAAGCCGAGGTGTATCAATTTTGAGCAAATTAGCGTCCTTCAATTTCGAAATATTGGAGTTTCAAGCATTTCTTAAATTTACCGTTATATGAGAATCGGCCGTTATTTTAGTCCGATTTCAATAATTTTCAACGTTTTGGTTTTATGTGGCAAGTACAATAACCATACCGAGTTTGGTACAAATTGGTAGAACGGTTACCGATATACTTATATGTGATCATAAGTGGGCGGTGCCACGCCCATTTTCCAAAATTTTACCATAAACGTATTTCTTGGTAAAGAATTGTTGCAAGCATCAATTTTGAATAAATTAGCTTCAATATTTAATGATTTATAGAAGATTTTGTATTTCTCTAAATTACCGTTATATGGGATGTGGGCGTGGTTATTGTCCGATTTTTTAAATTTTCGGCCATTTAGTATGATGTATGAAGGCCAACAACTGTGCCAAGTTTGGAAGAAATTGGTGCATCGGTTACCAAGATATACACATGTAACCATAAGTGGGCGTGGCTACGCCCATTTTCCAAAAATTTATAATATTCTTATTTTTCGTCTAAAACTTATTATAAATATCAATTTTGAGTGAATAATCTCCAGTAGTTACTAAAATATCGCAGTTTTCGTATTTCTGAAAATTACCGTTATATGGGAAGTAGGCGTGGTTATTGAGCGATTTTAAAAATTTTCGGCCATTTGGTATGTTATGCGAAGGCCAACAACTGTGCCAAGTTTGGAAGAAATTGGTGCAGCGGTTACCAAGATATACACATGTAACCATAAGTGGGCGTGGCTACGCCCATTTTCCAAAAATTTATAATATTCTTATTTTTCGTCTAAAAATTATTGTAAGTATCAATTTTGAGTGAATTATCTTCAGTAGTTACTAAAATATCGCAGTTTTCGTATTTCTGGAAATTACCGTTATATGGGAAGTGGGCGTGGTTAAAGTCCGATTTCGCCCATTTTCAATACCAACCTACCTTGGATTAAGGGAAACCTACATACCAAATTTCGTTGAGATATCTCAATTTTTGCTCGAGTTATCGTGTACACGGACAGACGGACAGACGGACAGACGGACAGACGGACAGACGGACA